GTGTTTTAGGAAACAGAAGATTTTTCAAAATTCACTGCATAAAAGCATACTAATTTGAGGAAATTTACCCCAAAAGAATGTATAAAATCTTTCAAATCAACTGAGGAGAGGTAGAATGTTCAGAATATTTATGTTGGGATGAGTTTGGAGAACACACTTAAGACTTCAGAGAAAGAAACATTTTTGAAGTTGTGTAGAAAAGAAAGAAACCTGGCTACACAGGACAAAAGTTGGATCTCAGATGTAAGGGAACACAGGTTTGCATGATTTGATGAGCGAAATAGGATTTTGCTACTTCCAGTATGTTCTCACGTCTTTTAAAAATCACTTCTCTTTTTCTTCTGTACTCCCCAAGCCCCAAGTACTTTCTTTTTTCTATAGCACTGATCACTTGGTAACATACTATATAATGTACTAGTATTCGTGTTAACTTCGGGTTTACTCTCTTTGTCCAGTTAGATGTAAATTTCATGAGGTCTGTTGTCTTTGCTTTGCTCATTGATGTAAGCCGAGCACTTTCAACAGTTCCCAACTAAAGTGACAATTAATTAAATATTTGTTAAACGACCAAAGCACAATCCTGGGCTGGCCTACGAGTTTTAGGATTTAGTGGTTTTTGCTAGTGATTGTAGCTAAACTGTTCTACAGTTATTACAAGGTTAAGACAGTCTTCTGTACTCTTTGTCAGCATAAATATAATACATTTGGAGGCAATTTTTTAGAACTAATATGCTAACTAGAATGTACACTTATTCATTGATTTGCTTTTTAAATTCAAAATATACTACCTTTTTTTTGACAGTGTAATTAATTGAGATGAGTGGTTCTGAGTCTTAGAATTAAAGAATCATTTTTAAATAGTTGTATTGATAAGACGTCTTAGTGTCTATTCATATGGAGCCTTGATTAAAGAAGGCACCTTTGATTAGGTTTACTTGGTTCCCATTGTGCTGGTATGGCATGCAAGTGTGGGTCTGTTCTTAAAGTATATGTTATATTTTTCACTTGTTCATGCATTGTTTACTAAATGTCTTCCATTGCTTCATTTGTCTTTCCTGTCTTTACTACTCAAGTAGGTGATAATTGCAGAAGATGTCTAAAGAGCAGAGTTGTACCTTGCTGCTACTTGGAATTTTAGACAGATACTGGGGAGGAGTCATTCTATTACTAGGCTTTTATGTTCAAGGAATTGGACAACCTTCCAGTGAATTTAGGAGTCCCTATATATGAATATTATTTTAGAATTGGACTTTTAAATTATTTATTTAATTAGAGATTAATTGAACATCGGCTGAAAGCAAGACAGAGAAGGGTGGATTCAGAATAAAGAAATGAGAAACTGGATGCATGTAAGGGGATCATTGCTTATGTTTTGTTTAGGGTTGGCTCTGTAAATACATGAATTTATTCTATTTTATTTTTATTTATACACTCTGCTTTATAATGTATGTCTTATTTAAGTATTGAAGGAGACAAGTGACTTATAATTTGTTATTAGTAGGCAGTATAAAATCTTTTGTTTTGATGTATTATATCATACAGAGGATCTTCAATATACTCATTTCTCTGATTTGCTTTAGTAAAAACTTTTTTTTTGTACTAAGTTGATAAAATACAGGAAAACAAAGTTCACATGCAATTGGACAAAAACTTGATTTATCTTATCCTCTCTTCTCTCTGACTTTCCTCATCATTTATTTACTCACCTGGTCTCAAGTTCTTGGGGCTCTGTTTGACTCTTCAGGATGTAGGAGCTACCTACATCATAACATGCCTAAATTAATTGGCAGATATGCTGTCTTCTGATTTTTGCCTATCAGTATCCCATCAAACCTTCAGAACTCTATCACAGAGTCATCACAACCGTGTCCCTCCAGAAAAACTTTCGTGTTCTCACATGCTGGTGTCTCCTACTCATTCTTTGAATCACTGTAGCATTTCATTCAGATTCACCTATTATACTGACTTTTCTCTACCATGTAGCATAGTAATTTGCATATTTATATAATTCTTGCTGTAACTTGAGAGCTAACTCCTGGAAGACATTTTTTTTTTTTTTGACAATTCTTTTAGTCTTTATAGTTCCCATGACATGTGATTTACTAAACTATGAGATTGATCAACGTCAAGGATTTTGGCTGTTTGTTTCTGCTTTGTAACCACTGCTGTTGTTCTTGTAGAATTATTTCTTTAAATGTAATCTTACATGAAAATCCATAGAAGAAGAAAAAAGAATAAACTCGCTGTGGTTGGAAGGTGATTGTTATACTCTTCCCAAATAACCTATTTTCTGCTACCTTTGCTGACTGTACAGAACACGTATGGCTTTGCTCTATCTCGTCTGTAAACAACAATATTCAGTTTATATGACACAGTCAAGCAGAGAGAAGCCGTTTACTATCACCCCATCAGTGGTTTACCAGAAGTCATAAATTTGTGCTTGGAATAAACACAATTTAAAAGGAATACATGAGGTTGCATGTTGGATAAGTAGTTAACTTATATTTCCTATTTGCATTGTCATTTTATTGCCAAATTTCAAATGCCATCCTCTCTGTTGGAAAAAGCTAGAAATTGGGAGACTAAGTGGGTGACACAATAAGATTAGGTGTTTTCAACAATAAATGAATTAGAAATAATGTATATACAGGTTTTCCTTCTACTTTCTTGCTTTTGAAAAAAGAAGGCTGAAATATGAGCAAGCTGACATTTTGCATGCAATTCAGGAGGAAAGGGAGAGGTTGATAGGTTAGTCTGGGCAGAGTATACTGTTGTATTCTAAAAGGTTTTGGTCATTGTAGCTAGAGGTAGGGGCACAATTTAGATAAAAAAACAACCCTGGCTACAAGGAAAGAGAATGGTTTTGCAGTGCATTGTTCCTATAAGTATGGGAAAGGTTTCTTTGAAAAGAAGTAGAAAATTGCTTTGAATTCTGATCTAAAGAAGTGCTAAATCCTCCTTGTCTGTAAAGCTATAGTAACTCAGTTGGTAAAGGCAAAGAATACTCTTAGTACAAAGGAGAATTTCAGAAAAGGAAAAGAGAAGAGAAAATGGAAAGGAAAGGAAAGGAGGACATGGGATGATGTTTGCATTTAGGGTATAAAAACTAAGGTAGATTTAGGTGTTCCCCAAGTACAGTATTTTAATAGCATCTTATCTTTCAAGACACAAGTCTTTTACTCACTTTTCTTCTTCTTGTCTTTTCTTTCTGTCTACACACACACACACACACACACACACACACACACACACACACACACGGTACCAAAAATAGATATAAACATTTTAAGAGATGTTTGCCATGATCAGAAATGTCTGGACGCTGATGGTTAACTACTCTGAGCACTTCTTGTAATTGGGGAAGTCAAATGTGACTTGTATTCATCTTTTGCTATCAGTATATATTGAGTATTACAATGTTAAATTGTTTTTTTCTTTCTTAAAAGGTGTTTACATTTTGGGGGCACATTCTCTCTCTCTCTCTCTCTATATATATATACACTATCCTTCCACCCCTACCTTTTAATTTCATGTCTGTCTGGATGTTGAATGAAATATTTCCTATTGTCTATTATCTAGAAATCCTGGCAAATGCCTGAAAACTGCAGAGCATCCTGGCAATATCAATGCCTTCCAAGGAGAGCTAGCAATAAGATTAACCTTCATCCTAGGCTGTTTAGAGGCAATTACACAAACTGAGTGACCCTTATCCAGTCACCTCTTTCCAGACACAACAATAGAAGACTATTAATTGAGGAGTGGGTTATAATTCAGTGGCCTAGTGGATAATGTTTGTGAGCCCAACTTTGTAAGGTAGTTGTTGATAAAGATAATTAGCCTCTGTGTTTAAAAGGAGGAATGGAGTCTTATTCCTCAGGTGAATGTCTGCTAATGAATCCAAATTTCTGATCTATTCTGTGTCTGTGTGAACATCAGAAGAGAATTGGTAGAGACCCCAGGAGAGAGTCAACAGTGATTCAGTATTATTACTACTCCATTGCCTAGGGAGGTTATGATGCATGAGTTTCCTGTGGGTCAGTTGACAGATAGCTGACCTTAAGCCAATTTTCTTCAATAGGATGCCTGCAGGTTGAGGGAAACAGCAGCAGAGGCTTTAAAGAATACTACAGATGGTAAAGCTATGGGGTAGATGGGAGAATCAAGCCAGACATTTCCCTTGGGAAAGAAACTATACAGTGAGTTGTCCCTGCTGATGGTGTCCTAGAAAATTACAACGGAACCCACTACCGGAGGGAATTCAAGTTTAGTCCCTGTCATCAAGGAGAAAGCTACAACAGCACCACCTAAGTCAGAATTTCCCATCTCTCCTAATCTTCTATCTCTTTTCAAAATAGCCAGTGGAATGGATCCAGAAGGAAGGAAGGAGCTAAGCATTGCAGAAATTGACTACATCTGCTTTTTCTGCTGAGTCCCTTGAGACAACATAGGGGGAGAGGAAAGCATTAAATACTTTAAATATGAGATGGAGTTGAAACCTAACTGAACTGGACTTGTTAGATCCAGAGTGACTAGAATATAAAAAATGTATCCAAGATGATGCAACGGAGATGGGAATTCAATAGAGCATGTTTAAAGCAGCTGTTAGTGAAAGGTAAAGCCACGTCATGTTTGCATTCTAACAATCTTTAGACTGTTCAGTAAACCTCACGCTATTTGGAAGCATTACAGTTGCATAGTACTTATATTGTCTGTCATAACACTCTGAAAGTTGTCGATAGAACATGGCTAACTTTCATAAAGAATCCAGAGAGTTCAATCTTCTTTATAGTATGACTAACATGACTAATAATCTGACCCTTTGATTCCAATAACTTGACCCACATTAATCTACTGTAATTCTAAAGTAAACTGTTAATTGTCTTATTTACAAGGTTAGCTTGTGTTACTTGTGATAAATTTTGATAAGAACTTCTCAATGAGTGATAGATTTTCTTTTGTTATTCTATTAAATGAAGATAAGAAGCTGTGACAAATTGGCATTTTAGATTTTGATGTCTCTAAGGAGTTAGTTTTTATTTTTAAAGAAGATACTCATGACACCCAGGCATGCATTAAAAAAAAATGATAAAACTAAAAGAAGCTTGCCATGAGATGGATTCTTAAGAGCCATCTCAGAAATCAATGGAATGGATGTTGGCTTAGCAGTTGCCGTCGTAGACAATTCGGCACTTCAGGAGCTTGAGGTAATTGTCAATCTTATGTGAATCCCTGCGTAGGCAGTGGAGCAGATTATAAAAAGCAGAAAGGCGAGACTCTTCATCAGCCGTCTGCAGCGATGGAAGTCCTGACCAGACAGCGTAGGGCTCACTTTCTCCGATTTCAGGATGAACCTAATCACCAGAAAAGATAGTGACTTATCATTCATATTATTAGTATTTGTATATCTCTGTTCTTCCTAATTGTTGAATTAAGAGTTGGGAAAGAGATAGGAATGTAAAATTTGAGCTAAAGGCAATAATTTTCATGCATCTGGGTCAGTGTATTAGAAATCTATGAATCTATTTTTTTTAAATAAATAAATTCCTGGGTTTTTTGAGTCTCCCTTCATATCCGTGTTAGCACTGAAAACACTTTGTGATTAATGTTACTGGCTTTTAGAATTGGTAGTAGAATCTATGAGTCTAAACAACAGATGCAGAACACATAAGTTTTCTGCTGTGTACGTGATCACCAATGAAGTATGTATGATGGTAGATGGAGGACCAGCAAGTTGTCATTTGAATATAGACATGAATTTGATCAAAGGACAATGGAAGGATTAGCTTCTGCTCTCTCACTTGAGGAACTACGTCATGAATCTTGTTCCTGATGTGCCTTTTAATTTTATTTCTTCCTTCAGTTCACCATTTATCGTTTTCTTGCTTTGAACCGAGTCTATTCTCTATGTAGTGTATATACTCAAAACTTCAGAAACAATGGGGATTGTACTTGATGCTTTAGGATGCAGATAATCTACTGATGACCAGGACTCAGAAGAAGAACTGAAGTGGTTAGGAGACTTTCATTCTACCAGCATGGGTATCCCCAAATTTCTATGAGGAACAGCTGCTTTCTTTTGAGGTCACTAGGGTTAGAGATGCTAGGAAAAGCATCCACAAGAAGGTGATGGTGGTAGCAACCCTTCAGTGGTGGGGCTATGTGGTAGGTTTGGGAGCATGGCTATGATAGTGAAAAGAAGGCTGAATGGAGAGGGAGTACCATGTATCTTTGCACTCTATCAGCCTTTGCGAAGTGGGAATCCCCAGAAATCTTAGAGACCAAGGAACCACCTTGGCTATTTCAGGGTTGTCAGTTACTTTGGAGAGCAACTAGGTACAGATCTGGAATAACTGTAGCCCTTGATCTGCTGAACTCTTTTCTATAGGATAAGAATATTTTTAAAATCCCTATTGGAATTTAAAGTGTGTGTGTGTGTGTGTGTGTGTGTGTGTGTGTGTGTGTGTGTGTGTTTTGTCTTGCTTTCTGTTTTTATTTTGGGTGCTTGAGTCCTAAGAGAAAATTTACTGTGCAAGTAACAATGATATGAAGATGAGTAAATAAATAAATAAACATCAGGGAAAAAAGAATAGGAAACGAAGTCTGATAGAACAAATCAGTGACCTCAGAAAGTAGGTTTACAGTAATGAAGAAAATAACTTGAAAATGAAGGTGTTTATTTCATGTTCCAAGGTTAAAATGTACTTTGTGTTTGTGTTGGATGTATTGTTCTCCCATGAAAATGATAAAAATGACACATGATAACATGCACTTAGTACACAAAAAGAGAAACATAAAATTGCTTCTGTTATTATTCTTATAATCATGTCTTTTTCTTTAGATGATGCATTATTCCTGAGAACTTCAGAAAGCTTTTTAGATGTGATCTTACTAATGTTGAAATTATCCCATCTGACAGTAGATATATATAGTACAAATAATACAATCTAACTATGATAAATTATTTGGGAGAGAGTAAATGCAATAATGTGAGTTTTGATTTGGGGACCCTATGTAAAGCAAAATGTAGAATGAGACAACTTTCCATAAATTACAAAATAAAGACTATTTCAGAAAAGATACAGCCCCTTTGCTTATGATTCCCTGAACTACCTCAAGTCAATGCAATCTGCAGGCATTGATGCTATGGACTCATCTTTTAAATCTTCTTGTCTTTCTGACACATCTGTGCAACAGATCATGTGGTGAAGGGGTGAGGTGGCTCATCTAGTCTCATTTTTATTTTCTCCTTTCTCCCTTCCCACTTTCATCTTCTGCTGAGGGGAGAAAAGAGAAAGACTTTGACCATAGTTTCAATAGTGAATATCATGGGATACTTCAGAGAAAATTTCTGAAGATTCTATTGCAGATTCTATTCTCTGTCCCCCCTGTCCCCAGAAAGGTGCAGATTTTTTTTTTTTTTTTTTGAGTTGGAGTCTCATTCTGTCACCCAGGCTGGAGGGCAGTGGCATGCCCAACCTGCTGTGCTCAGGCAATCCTTCCACCTCAACCTTCCAAGTAGCTGGAACTATAGGCATGTGCCATCATGCCTGGTTAATTTTTCTTGATTTTTTGTAGAGATGAGGTCTCATCAAGTTGTCCAGGCTGGTCTCGAACCCATGGACCGGGGCAATCCTCTCACCTCAGCCTCCTGAAGTGCTGGGATTATAGGCGTGACCCGCCGTGCTCAGCCAGGTGCAAGTCTTGATGGATTTGTTTATAGTGTAGGGAAAAGTGTGCCTGTCAAATATCATAGAATTCTAAGATCCATTTACATTAGAATCTATCACTATGAATGACTAGGCTCTTGCTTTGTTTAATTGCAGTCTAGAATATGGAATGCCTACATTTCCTTCTTTCAAAGTGACATATTTCTCATCACAGAGGTCATCTGCTTCCTTAATGAGATAAACAAAGAAGAACCAGGAGGTTGCTCACCTGACCCACTATCTTCTCCATGCCTTCCAGCAGTCGTTGGTTTTGCTCCTCAATCTCTACGGCTCTTGACACAATAGACTCCGGGGCCTCTTCCATACCACGCACTTCTAAGACTAGATGATACAAAGGATCGTTCCAGGAGCGCAGCAATCTGAGTACTTGGTACAGAAGGTCTATGTGCTAAGCAGTCACATCAAACAATAGTGTTAAAATAAGCAAAATACAAAATGAGATTAGTTACATGTGATGTTTGCTCAGAGAGGCAAATATCTCATTGTTATTTTTGTGTGGAGGTCAAATGTTTTTTCTAGGTGATAGAAGTTGTAGAAATGTAACATTTAAGCTATTGGCATACACTTTGCTAAAAAAAAAGCTAACTTATTTTAATAAATACTTTTTCTAATGAGAGCTCTAATTGATAGCATAAATAATTTTGTGTTTTCTCTGAAATTGTACCATTTAGCCACTCGAAAAGAACTTTTATATTTGATTGGTGTACTTGTCTATGGGGAAAAACTAAAGTTTTTCTGGAACTCGATAGGTGCCTATAGTACCTGACTCAGAAACAGTCAGTGTCAGTAACGAGGGGCTCAGATTGTTATCATCCAATGATTTACTCATGCAAATGAATCAAATTGTTCATGAATATATTTCTTTGTGATTTGTAGCTTTATTTTAGGATATTAGGGCAAAGCGGTAATGAGGATGTAATGGTATTCATAAACATGCTTTCCTCAATCTACATAGCCTCCTGTTCCATGCTGCCAGCAGAGAAACTTATTCTGTAGGCTTATGCAGGTGAATCACATGGGACAATGCTATATTTAATAGCGGCCTCAATGGACTTCGCAATGGAGTTTTGGCTGCCTGGTTTATGCTTACTCTCAGGATTGTACATGAGACTTCAAGTGGCTGATTATCTCAGATTCAAAACGCTTGCTGTGTTGATGCCTGTACCTAGTTTAGTGGTAACAAAAATGAAGAATAGGATACGAAAGAAGGAAGGGAGCTATACGAGGCGCAGGCTATAAAGAGAACATCAGCGTAGTTTTGCTGGGAGCCTTGGGACACAATGATTAAGAGGGAGGGCTTTGAATTGGATGAAGCCCAGCCCTGTGAATGGTGCGATTTCCATAACCTCTCTGAGTCTCAGTGTCCTTATCTCAATGTGTGCCTTGTGTTACAGGATTTTTGTGAGAATTAAATACAGTAATGCATATAAAGTGTTTTGTGCAGTGTCTGGTATTGTAGTCGAGTTTGAGTATCCCTAATCTGAAAATCAAAATCCTAAATGCTCCAATGAGCATTTCCTTGAGTGTCATGCTGACACTCAAAAAGTTTCAAATTTTGGAGCATTTGAGTTTCAGATTAGGGATATCCAACCTGTAGCTCTCCAAAAATCTTATTTCCTCTTGCTCCTCCTCCCTCTCCTCTTTCTCTTCCATTTATTATAAGTATTGCAATTATTATTAATGAGCATAGCAGATAGACAGAATGCTGGTGCCATTAATAAAATTATCAAAAGAGGATACTTGGTATTTGTGGGGGGGATATATGTGAAGATGTTTATTTTAAATCATGTTAAGACTGTGGTTATGGCAGGGAGTCAGTAGAGAAAGATTATAACAATAAAAGATTGAGCTGGAATATGTAATTGGGGCTTGATATGCAGACTGTTGTCATCAGAACACAGGCGATAGTTGCTGCTGGGGAAAGCAAAATATAATATCTTATAGGATCTTCTCTGGGGTTGGGGAAGGGTGACATGACTAAGAAATAGGGAGAGGACAGAGGAGTCAGTGAAGAATAAACTGGAAAAAGTGTCAGAGAAGTGGAAATAGAGTGGAAGTGGAAATAGAAAAAGGCCTTAAAATTCTGGAAGAGACAGTTCATATAGTACAGGAGTCAATAATGTAAAATGCTCCCAATGTATAGTGGTCACTAGTAACCTGCAATAAATACAACTGCATTTGCTTTTCTTACATACGCATGGGTGTATATTTACCCATAGAAGTCCAATTGAGTTCAAACTTTCATACAATATAATATATGCAATCCTAGGGGAAAGGCATTGGTGAAAATAATGTCATCTGCATGGACAGTTTATGGATCTGCTATTCAGTTTGCTGCTACAATCTTAGCATTTAATTTTATATTTCATCTACTACATAATGTAATTTTTCTTTGTTTATTCTTCCTCCATTTTTCTCTTCATGTACAATTACCTTTGGTTATTACAGCACCTCTACTAGGCTGCCACATGATAACACCACTATTGCAGCCTCAGTTGTTTTAGTAAAAAAAAAAACCTGGAGAAAAGACTCACACGGATCTGTTGAGCTTGCTCTTTGTCTTCGGGGGTAGAGAGGGAAGAAGTATGGCAGCTGTTGATGGCCTTGGTAATGAACCCACGCCCCTGAGCATACCGTTGATCCTGGAAATGACAAAGCACATTAAATCAGTTGGGGTGGTTTGGGCGTTGAATAAATGAATCCATTACCAGAATATTAATACATTTGATGGATGTGCAATTTTTTTAAAAAAAATAAACACAACATAAAAATGTAGACTAAAGAATTAAGGAAGTAATGCTTTTTACCTCCCTTTCTTTATCCCTATGAACTTAATTTTTCCATCTAAATTTTCTAAATCCCATCCTTTTCCATTCCTTATGATTCCCTTGTTGTTTACTTTCACTCTTCACATGAGTTACTATTTGGAAAGCAAACACTAAAAATAGCAAAAATATGAAACATTCAATGTTATTAAGTATCATCTTTCTTCAGTATTTGAGCCAAATGTCAAAGTGCACATATATCTACATTTATCCATTTAATCTCTTGTTTACTGTGAGTCCAAGCTGGTAGGCTTCTCTTAATAGGCATTATAAAATTATAACTGTTTTAATAATTTCTGAGTCTACACACTTGTACGACAAGTTCATCATTGATATGGAATAGTTTTTTATTGTGACAAAATATGTCAGAAACACAGGACACAAAAAATTTAAGAAAAGTAAAAAATGGTCTGAGAATAAGAACAGAAAAAAATTAGCTAATCCACTGACAGAAAAAAAACCTAATCTTTAGCAAAAATTATAGAAGCTTAAAGGGATTACTAGAAATATTTAGAAGACAAAAAATAGCCAATCAAAAATGGAGAATAAAAAGAAACTAGTGAATAAAAAGAACTGTACAAATGTATATTTATCATGAACATAAAGCCACATTCTTTTTAGATATGGAGGCCCTTTGATCTATAGAAGCTCTAATCTATTGTCTGCTCCTTGATTGACCTAGACCTATGACTTTCAAAATACGTTAATCAGAAGGATAAAACCCATTTCTCAAAAGGAAAGAAAATACTTGCTTCCATTTCTAAGTCAGCCCTTTAGTGTAATTATAAACCTATACACTGAAAATCTTAGAGAAATGATTTTCTAGCATTTTGAGGTTTCTGAAAGTTATTATTATCATTTTTTCATTGATGTGGGTTCAGCTTAGTTTAATTCTATTCAATCCCCTCAATTCACAGAAGTACGATCCTCATTTATTGAATATCTATGTGCTAAGTGAAGAATGCCTATACAGTCTAACTATTACACTCAAGAACAAGAAATCAACACTCGTTCTTCTCCTTAGCCCCTTATGTCAGATGCTTAAATTTTTTAAAGCAAAGGCGATTGATCATTTAAAAAGGCATTACATTCTTTGAGGATCTTTGAGATTTCCTGAAACTCTTTTTTCGCTTTGTTCCAAATTTTATTAGCTGATGCCTGTATTTACCTATTTAAAGAGTATTGTTTGAAGCTTGACTCAGGAGGTCTTCTCATCTAAGGTGTAGCACAGTCCAGTCATTCACATAAAGGCTCCCTCTGGGAGGAAGCAGGAATTGCAGTACTTACATATTCGTAGAACATTTCAGAGGCGAGGCTATGGATGTAGTGGGACAGGATGACTGCACGGTCAAACAGGTCTTGAAGGGACACCTGGCAGTTGCCAGCCCCAGTGGGACAGATGGGCAGGGAGTCTGTGCTCTTGCACAGGAGCAGGTTTGACACCAGCAGCAGCAGCAGAAGTGACCCTGCTTAAATAAGAACGTGAGTCACTTGGAGATGATCTATTCTGCTGAGGTTATCGAAAGTAATCCTGCCAAGAGAGTCTTATCTCTCCCCACTGCCCTCAGCTGCATGATTTGGTATTGTAATAACTGGGGTGGGGATAGAATCAACAACTTGCACTGTGTAAATTTAGATAAATAATTGTATTTGCACAGATGTATAGTTAGAGAAGTGGGTTACTCCTTGCATTTTTGTATGGCTCCCAGAAGTGCTTCTGTACTTGGCAAACATTTGGAGCTTAAATTAATTCTGAGTCAGGGTGTTCAGGTCATTCTCTTAAGGTAGTTTTATGTCTTGAGAGTTTCTGCACATTTTCAGCAGTTGGGTGGGCTCTCTAGGAGTTTGCAATTTTTTTTTTTTGAGTTGGAGTCTCACTCTGTCGCCCAGACTGGAGTGCAGTGGTCGCTCCTGGCCACCACAGCCTTGACCTGCTGGGCTCCGGCCATCTTTCCACCTCAGCCTTCCAAGTAGCTGGAAATACAGCCGTGCGCTACCATGCCTGGCTAATTTTTGATTTATTGTAGAGATGAGGTCTCGCCAAGTTGCCCAGGCGGGTCTTGAACCCACGGGCTCAGGCAATCCACTCACCTCGGTCTCCCAAAGCGCAGGATTAGAGGCTGAGCCACCGAGCCCGTCTTAAATTTTTTTTTTTTAAAAAAACCTCAGTCATTTTAGACACTGATGTGACAAGTGCAGCACTGTTGATCTCTTTGATTTATCTTCATGCCTGATACGAATAAACACATGATTGCTTGATTGCTAATACTGAGTATGAAGAGAATTCTAACATAAAAATGATGCTGTAGCTTGGCTCAGCTAACCCATCATAATAATCCCATGCATTTGTTTGATACTTTGCCAAAGCTTTACACTTTTTTCTAAATAAGAGCTTCACAGTAACCCTGTGAGATAGGCTGGGGCTTTGTAATTATCATCAAATTATATTGATGAAACTGATGGCTTAGGAAGGTTAAGTGATTTTCCCCAAGTCCTATTATTAGCAGGTGAGAGAGGCAGTTTGCCAATACCATGGTCTTTGCATATCACCTGGTCACATCACACACCTGTGGGTTTTCAGTCTGCATCTGTGAAACAGGAACCACATCACTAGCTGTGATGGCTCAGTGTTTGCAAAGATTGTTGCCATTACTTGGGAAGAACAACTCCTTGCCTGTGATTTCGTGATAACAGAGGCCCTAGGAAGCTTGATTTTATCCACTTTTCCTGCTTTAACTATAAAATACCCAATTTTAAAATCTTCAGAATGATCAGAGATAGTTTTGTCATCAATTTGCTATCTCAGCAGATAGGCAGATACAGACCTTTAATATATCAATAATTTACACTTTCAAAAGAAAGGAAGCAACATATAACTATCAAATTAAAACCACTTTTTAACGTCAGTGATGCTACTCCAAAAGAGTATCTATTAAAAAAATGTGTTTATCAGAACTAAGTTCTACAGAACATTTGATAAATGCAGTTGAAAATGTACAAGATAAAGCTAGGCAAATGCTAAAGATTAATTTGTGAAAAAATGCCTAAACACCTAAAAAACTGTTTCATGTAGAAAGTAACTAAACTTTTTAGCTGCAAAACAAAAAGTATTAATGTTGTGAGATGATTCCTATTATAGACTTTTGATTTACCAAGAACATGACACTTCCAAAAGTTTATTTAATGCATGTTATTGTCATATGATGTAAGCAAATGAATATTTTATCGACATGTGTAAATAAATATGCTTTGCAGATAGAAAGATTAGAATAGCACCTCTAGGAAATTCATAACCAGGTAAATATTCTTTAACTCTGAGTACATATATCTGCACATTATGTAAGGAATTTTCACAGTCCAAGATGAGATAAAATAAACAAATATTTTTGTTCTTTATTTCATAAGACAAATTTTATGGTTGTTACTAATTTATTTTTCTCACAAATGTCAGCCATGAAAATAAGGGTGATTAATTATTACTAGCCTGTTTTTCCTTTTGGATTGTCATTTTGGCTTGAACTAAATTGACAGAACAGTAGAAGAGGCAATTGTGCATTCTTTGTCTATCTTATGACTTCAGAATTGAAAGTTTCATCAATTTGATTCAAGCTGATCCAGGAACCAGGAAATGTTAGTTTCTGCTTTCTGGAGTTGTGACAAATTATATCCATTATTATTGGGTATTATTCTAGTCCGGGGTTTCTTAATCACAGGATTATTGGCATTTTGAATTGGATAACTCCTTATTCAGGGGGCTGTCTTGTGCACTGTAGGATGTTTAGCAGCAGTCCTGATTTCTATTCATTAAATACCAGTAGCACTGTTCCCCTGTCTCCTACATCTCAAATAAGACAAACCAAAACATCTCCTGGCATTGCCAAATGTCTCTGGGAGGAGGAATCTTTTGTTTGAGAACCACTGCTCTATTCTATTGTGCCATTGTACAATTGCTTTCTAGAGCAATGATTAGATAGTGCTTCCAAATCTGGTAACTCCGAAACCTCTTGCTATTAGTTAAAAATTTTACCTGAATCCCCCATAGAATTATTGGTAAAACCAACAACCTGGTGAGTTGTTGCACGTACCTTTCGGTGGTGACCTTTGGCGGGACATGGCGGTGATCATTGCAGAAAACACACTTTACCAGAGACCTGGAAGTCCTACAGCTTTCTCTTTCCCAGATATCGGCTTTATAAACCTTTGACATATTCATGAATATATTGAATCAGGCTTTCTCTTCCCTTTTCCTGGTCATCTATTTCCGTCATTGAGATTACCCCCATAATTTCAAACATCAAATGGTATTTTATTTCTTATTCATATTCAGGAAGACATACTGGCCAGAAATGAACATTCTAGGAAGGATTTTGATTAATTAGAACAAAAGGAAATGAGAGAAATGATGAAGGTGAGATCTGGAGACAAGTTTAAGTTAGAGGATCCATAAAACTACAAAAGTCATTTACTTTAAAAATTTACCTTTATTTCTCAGCAGTGTCTTGAATATATAGCATTATGTTTCAATTAGACAATAGTCACATGTATTATAAATTATCAGTTTTTAAATTCAAGACTCTAAGTAAATATTTCAAAATTCCCATACTAAGTGCTAGGAGATATAGAATAATTATTGAATTAAAGCTTTAATTTTAATTTAATTTAAAATGTATAAAATTAAATTTTCCTCCTTTTTTCTTGCTTTTACATATTCTGTTTTGCCCTTTTGAAAATGGCATGTATGTATGGTACTTGGTTTTATAATGTGCATTTGTATCTGTTTATTTTGGTTGCAACAAATCTGTAAAGTTGTTTTATTATTTCCAGTTTACAAATTAAGAAACAGTCTTGGAAAAACTAGATGAAAAGGATAAGAAATAAGTAATTCTACGGTTGAGCTAGATGAAGGAAAGGTTATTACTTCATGGGAAGTCAGCAGGAGTGTGAGGAAGGCTGGAAAATAAATTGTCTGGCAAACACTGCTGAACATATCACCCCCGATTTAAGAGAGTTTATTTTGGAGAAGGCTATCGTAGATTTTGAGGGTAAACACACATACATATGCACACACACCCATTCACACACTTCCTGACATGTCATGTAATCAATCAAAATTTCCTCCAATCATTTCCACTTTCAAGACTATTAGTGGGTAAACTGCTATTAACTTTTGATCACTCTACTTTCTTTGACCCTGAGCTACTCTGGAGTTAAGGTGACAAAAATTCATCTTTCATGGACTCAAAAGTTTCATTCATCTTTTGGAGATTTCCTGAATGCAATAATGAATAAGAATTAAGTTGTTGATGACTTTATCTAATTTTTAAGTCCATGCATCTAAAGCAGCCTGTGACCTTTACTTTCAAACTTACTGTCTCTCAGAGTAGGCTGACAAATGAGGTAATTTAAAAAATAATCTTCCTATGGCATTTACTTTTTCCATAGTTGCTAGTGCCACATATGTGCTTTAGCAATTATCTGACTAAGTGCTCTTATGGGGACCTAGAAATTTTAACAAAGACTAAAGTCACTGAAAAATGATCTTCCTAATTACCTTGGCTTAAGCGATCCTACATTTTGAATCCTAAACATAAAATGTGATGATTCATAGACCCTATCTGTTAAGAGCTGGGTCAGGATTCCATACACTCACACTAAGTATCCATTTTTTTTCCCGGGATGGTGAAAGTCTGAATTCTTAAGAAAGCAGAGCCATGTGGTAGAGAAATTAACATAGCCCTACATTCCCCTCCTCTCCCAGAAACGTAAGAGTAAAAAAAATCTGCCATAAGAACTGACAATGACAACTTAATCTTAAAATTTAAAGGTGTTGCAACATTTGTAGATTGCCAGGATAAGAGTAATCTAAGAAAACCTAAGCTGTGTTTATTCAGCAGAGGCCAATCGATTTATTTGACTGCAAAGAGGTACATGTTTCTCTGTAAAATTTATTATGTGCTTCCTTGCTGTTCCACAGTCCCACATTTCCTGTGAACGGGATATTGCAATATCTAAATAATGCAAAAGGCATATTTTATGCAAAAAGTCATAGTTGTCATATTTTTTCTAACTGTTATGTATGTCACCCATGTTCACCTTAATTTTTATATGTGCTCTCTGGCCCGACTTCCTCTTGATCAAACTGTGCCATTAAAAAAAAAAATTTCTCTAGGAGTGGACCTGTCTGTTTTTATTTACCTGACTTCATTTGTTTTCCATTTTTGGTCTGAGGACTGGGATTACACTGAGAGCTGATGGTGGATTTCTGTCAAGTTGCTAAATACATAACTCCAGTGATGCTAAAGTCCCTATTCTATTTTTAGTACCTGAAATTAATAAACAAATCTGCTGTCTTTTCTAAAAGACTGATTTTTAACATTAAGTAACATCGGGTTGGTTTTCACTCTTAACTTCTTTATGTTTTGTCTTGTTATCTATTTTAAAGTTTGTAATAATTTTTTTTCTTTTGTCATTTATGATGGAAAACATATTTAAAATGCTTCACATAACTTAAAAGGTGTCTACACCTATATGATACAGGATGTTAAAGACTGAAAGAAATGAAAAGTTTAACAAACTTCAGAATAAATGTATCACAAAGATATTTCTGTTTATATTAATAGTGAATTATTGTCAATAAGGTGAAATTTGTAACTGATTAAGAGTGTTTTGTTTATGGATTAGTAAATTACAAATAGTCATCTTCCAAAACTTGGATTAATAAGATCAGATAGAATATATGTTGTTTTCAGTATAAAATATCAGAAGATGTAAAGGTCACATTGGAGAAAGGATCAATGGTGCTTTCTTAAATGACACTGTTTTCAGAATAAGCAAAATGTGATTGTTTAATTACATTCTACTATTTAGATTAACTTCATGCATATTGTTAAATTTGGCCTAAAGATATTTCCATAGGCAGCAAACTTCAACCTAACTCAGTATGTAAGCACACTGCAACCTATGTCAAGAGTATATAATTGTAGCAAATTGCTGAGTCTCAGCCAATCATAGAAGACAAGCTTTCAGTCAATCATTGGCTGCAAACTGCTCAGGCATGTCCCACTGAAGCGAAGGACTAGTGTAATCAATCAGCTTATTTCTATATGTCACTTTATTTTTCTGTCCATAAATACTGCCTGACCATTTTTCTGGTGGAGCTCTCTGAATCGTTTCTAGTTCATGGTGCTTTCTGGTTCATGAATTGTTTCTTTGCTTATATAAATGGCTTAATGTGATTTGTCTGAAGTTTTTTTATTTTAACAACTATGAGAAATACTTTTTGTTTTCTAAGTGCCCATGTTTATTGCTTGCTTTTTTCTAGGGCTTTGGAAGTTCTTAGTTTCTCCAAGTGACTCCCAAAGCCGAGTTCTTAATATATTGGCAGTGTCTTGAGAGTGTTTCCTCCTTAAATAAAAAACCATAGTGGAAGCATTCAGAAAATTTCCCTGTCATTCCTATTATTTTTCTTTATTTACTGCAATGCTAATCATATCCTCTGGTTTAGTTCTGTGAGTTCCTTGTGTTAGCTTACTCTATGAGTTTCTGGTCACATGCTTATTCTGAATGATTTGCACCTTTGGGTAAATTTTTATGCCTGATATAAGAGAATTCTATATTTAAGAATGATGTATCCAGAGATTTCATGAAATCACTTTTTGAGACTTACAGTTTTTCAAGTTACAAACATCAAATTTTTAGCTATATGTTAATGATAAATGAAACAGAGGTAACATTCCCTGTAAGATTCCTCACACTGCCATATTATATTCCTTGTCTAATGGGAAGTGGATTTGAAGCATGCCCGCTTCCAGGGGCCAGTTTGTTTGTCTGTCTTCTGTCTGTCTGTCTATTTCTATTCTCTCTTCTCTCTCTCTCTCCCCTATCTATCTACCTGTCCATCTATCTATGTCATCTGTTATCTTCATCATCATCATCTATCACCATTATGTGATAGGAAATGGGATTCTGAGCCATGCATACTTCCAGGAATATTTTGAAAAATTTCAATTTGGAATTATACTTAGCACAGGCACTACCAGACAGAACAGAAAGATATAGCAATAGATCAAGTCCCTGAGGCCCCCTGAACTGATAGCCATTGATTCTTTCATTTTGGTGAGGCTGTGAGTGGGAATGGGAGGTTGGGGTAAGGGGTATCCTAGGTGAGGGCTGAGTTAGTTTAGGGGAATCAGGGCACTGGGGAGATCAGGGCAGCAATTCTGCACTGAGAAGTATTTTGATATTGTAAAAATTCACAGGTTACACATGTACTGGCACACTATCACCCCTTTCCTTCTCCACTGCTATTTTTTTTGCATATAATGAAATAATCAAGATTGAGAAGCAGGGTCGGTTCTTCAGAGGAAATATTACCCTCCCAAATCAGCCAACGTACCCTTCATCCTCCAATATATTTTTCTATTAAATATATCTAAAATATTTTAACCATGACATGTCCACTTATCTTTGTTTTTCTTACTAATTCATTGAATACAGCATGTCTTTACCAGTGTAATATATACTTTGATATTCAGGGGTTAGCTACAGTGACAATTGTTTAGCAAAGCTCTCTATCCTTTGGGGTTGACTTGGGCAAATAGGGACATATGAATAATCAATTCCTTGACAGAGTGCTCTATTGGCCAATAGCAATTAAAATATATATTTAATGAAAGACTTTTAAATGATGGGGGAAAAAGTAAAGGTTCAAAGTAATGAAAAAGATTTCTGAGGTAAAGCAGATCACAGAATGCCTTTCCCCGATTCTAATAAAATGAATAGAAAACGGGCTTTAACAAAAAAACTGGCAAAAATACACTTGCTATTAAAGGTAGAAGGAGGTACAGTCATGTTAATTATTCTTTATGATTCATATCTGGAAACCAATAGATATTGTCAAATTGATTCTTTTGTTAAAAAAAGGAAAGTTTTCAACAGATGATGCCAAGTTATGATTATAACCTTTTTAAAAATGAAAAACAGATTGTAAACCTTCTAATTGTCAGAAAAGAGAAAATACACAGATGCATACATACATCAAACATGAAACAATACGTTTAACAAAAGGCATGAAACAAGAGAAATACAAACAAACAAAAAAAAATACAAAACTA